CTTTTAAGGGCGGACGGAGCCCGGCGACTCCGTTAGGGGGGACTCGTTCACCACACGTGTGACGGACGAGCCCCCCCAATCGCTGGTAGGGGATGAGGTACCCCGACTTCAAACCTCCGGCCGGGGCCAATAGGGGGGAGCTTGCTCCCCTCACCGGACCGGGTAGTCTCCCTCCTGCCGCTCCATTATGCCGGTGCTCCGGCGAGGCGGTAGGGGGAACCCGGACAGAGAGCAGGGTGGCACGTCATCGCCATCCTGCCTCTGCCCCATCTTCCTGGCTGGGCCTGAACGCCATTGCACGTTGGTGCTCCGGCGGGCGGGAGGGCCTGGTTGGAGAATGGGGAGGTCCCTGAGCTTCCCCTAATGCCGGTGTTCCGGCGAGGGGGGGGCAAGGGGACGGAGCTCCACTACCGGGGGCCGGACGTGGTTCGGTCGGCCTGGCAATGGAGGGCCCGACCCCGGTGGCGTAACCGTGCGTGGCGCGGGTCACCGGGGGGCGGGAAGACGGACGGGTAGTGGGGCCGCTCGGACGTTTCCGAGGCGGGGCCTTCTACCTGGAAGACCTCCCCGGGGGCCGCTGGGACGTTTCCCAGGCAGGGCCTCGGGGGATCTGGAGGATCGCGCCGACAGTCTGTCGGCCGACATCCGTCGTCGGGGCGCGAACCGTCACCCCGTATCTGGGGCCGTCGTCCTTTTTAGGGCGAGCGGTCTGGCACGGGGCCGGGCGGGGAGCGCTCAGGCATTGACGGGGCTTCCGCCTCGCTGGGCGGGACGTGGTCCCGTTTCGGCGGGGTAGGAGGACCCGACCCCGGCGGCAGAACCGAGTGTGACTCGGGTCGCTGGGTGGGCGGGGAGGTAGCCCCGTAGGGCCATAGGTAAGGCGAGCGCTTAAAGCGCCGGGATGTGTGTGTAATTTTACACACGCATGTAGCGGATTATGGCACCCGCGGGGCGGTGAACCGCCGGGGCCGCCGGAACGTTTTCCGGGTCGGGGCTCGGCGGTCGAGAGGACGTGTCGTTCGAAGCCGCTCGGACGTTTCCGAGGCGGGACTCGACAACACGGGGCCCTCCGGAGCCGCTGGGACGTTTCCCAGGCCGGGGTCCGAAGAGTCGCTGGCGGGGGGCTGTCGTGGTCTCCGGGTAGTAACCCGGTCCCGGCAGCCTGCTCGGACGAGGGGGACGGCGGGGGCCGCTCGGACATTTCCGAGGCGGGGTCCTGCCTTCCCCCGTGCCGGGGGGCCCACTCGATAGCCCACGCGTCCTAGAGTGGACTACCCCCCGGCGGAGGAAGCAACTACGCTGGTCGCCACGGCGGACTGGGCGAAGGGGGGCGGGCTTCCCCCGACGCCTTAGTTCGTCCGTGGGGCCCCCCCGCCGTGGCTGGCGCATACACGGTGTCCGCGTAGTCGGAGGCGCGGAACCCCCCGAAAACCCCCTCGCGGGGGTGTGTAGGGGGGCCGGAGTCCAGTGGCGGGGTGCGCGTATTCCCCCCGCCCCGCGACATATGCCGA